AAGCTACACCCGGCCCAGCATAGCCAGGTGTTTTAAATATAGCCTGAGTAAGCCAAGTTTCAGCCATTTAAACCTTCCCTTCTGCACAGTCCACAAAGCTCCCTCAGCCCCTGCTGAACAGAGCCTATGCTTGTTAGAGCCCCAGCTGCCGAATCAGGGTCCAGGCTACGAAGGATGAGGATTCGTCAAATGAGTGCGTTGCCGACTTGATCACTGCCTTCCCTGGGTGCTGCCCACCCCAGCACCCCTGGGAGCTCAGTGCCCTGGAACTCCACTCCTGAGTGACCCCACCTGGGAATCTGGTGATCTCCTGCTGGTCTGCATACGTACATGTGCATACATGTATGTTACAGAGAGGAAGAGGGGCAGAGAGGGGCTTATAATAAGGAACTGGCTCCTGCAGTTATGCAGATGGACAGGTCTCTGGTCTGCAGTCGGCAAGAGGGAGAAGCAGCCCTGTGAATTCCCTGTATCTGTGTCTCCTCCCCTACTGAGCTGACACCTCCCTCCCCTCTAGGCTGCTGGGGTTCCTGCACCTCTCATGTAGCCAGTGCCTTCCCAGCATGCAGGCCTGTGGCAGCTGCTCCAATAACACTGTGCGTTCTCCTGCCACCTGATGGTCACATCTCTCCTTGTCCAGCCCCTGGCACCATTGTGCATCCAGGGATTTTGGTATCTTCAGGGGTCCTGGACCTATTTCCCATGGAAACTGAGCGATGGGCAGCTGTGCCCATGTGAGGGTATACACGTGAATACAGCCAGGGCTTCCCTGGAAACACTTAGACATGTTAGGTATGCAAGCTAGAAGAACTTCCACAGACTCTTAGGGGCGTGCAGCACCCCTGCGGGGTGGACCAGGCCGAGGAAGCCTCTGGTAGGAGCAGGACTGGAAGCCTCGCTCTGCCTCAGCGGAATCGTGCGCTGCTGTCCGCTGAGCCCAGGGTAGGGTGGGCTCTCCTGCTGCCTTCTAATCCTTGCATGGATGCTTCTCTCGTTTGGCAACCCAGAACTTACAAGAGAGCCACACTGCAGGCTCCTCCCACATGATACAGAGAGTCTCTGGGTTGGGTGGTTCCCAGGGAAGGCAGCGATCGAGTTGGCAAGACACTCGTCGAATCCTCATCCTTCGTATCCTGGACCCTGATTGAGACTAACAGGCAACAGCAGCAACCCAGTGTTCTACTAACCCTGTTTCTGTGCCACTGGAGACGCCCCAGTGCTGCTCAACAGAGACCCAAAAGTCGTCAAACCCATGTTCAGTTTTGTTCATTTGTTACTGGTGTGCTCGTGAACAAACTAATGTAAAGGCTGAAGTAAAAGCTTATGCCCTCCTTGCCTACCCCATGTCTTCGGACAAGGAAAGGAGAGGGGCACTTGGGATTCAGATAGACCAAGGGAGAAATAACGCACTGTCATGACCGTGAATCCATGCCTTGCAGACTCTGGTGGACAAGTGAATGATGCCTTTGTCCCCTGCACCTGCTGGTTCCCCACGCCCCTCCAGCATCCAACTTGCATACCAAAAGAGCTGAGCATTAGTTTCTGCTGGTGGCATGAAGGGAAATTCCTGGGTAACATCTGTAAATAATTCCTAGGTACTTTTTGGAGATCTCTACTGGCAAAAACCTTGCTGTTCTTTGTGTGTCTCATTTCTCCTCCAAGACTGTCTTCCTAGTTATGAATGTTATAACGGGAAGAGCTAGTCCTAAGGTGACGGGCATCTCCCTGTGATGCAGCCGCCCCGATCAGGTCCTTGCCAGCTCTCAGACTGGAGAAGCCAGCTGCAAGCAAGGGAAGAGGAGCTGCTTCTGGGTACCCAGGGGTCAGGGCAATGGGAGGACACAGGTTCTCCAGGCCCACACATCCCGGTACCCCATCCAGACCCTCTTTCATAATCACTGCCCTGCATGTTCACAAGGGACCTAGGAAGGTTTTCAGTTCAGCTGAACCTGCAGTACCAAAAAGGCCTGGCTTCTGGAATCGAGGCCTCCTTGGGAGCTCTGGCTCCACAGCTGACAAAAGCCGGCTCACTGAGTTTCCCTGTTACTCTCCAGTGTGGTCAGGAAGTGCGAGTTCGTGCAGTTAGAAGAATGAGCACCCCCACCATGCTGTGTCCTTTCCATCGGAGTGGTGAACCTGTACGACTTGGCTCTCCTGCACTGTCCCACGTTGTCCCGCACTGTCCCGCAAGTCTGTTTCCTGGGACTGTTTCCAGGACCACGTTCTGTGCCCATCAGCTTTGGTGAGGGAGTCGAAAGCCACTCTAGGTTTTCCAAGGAGGGAGAGGACCTGGAGGTGCACACGGCCAGGGCCAGTGCAGAAGCCCAGAGACACCAGCACCCCCGAGGCTCATAGGCATTCACTGGAGATCATGGATGCCTTGAGAGTCCCCTGGGCCACCTCCACCGCCTCCCACCTCAGTGTCCTGGATGATAAAAGGGCTTCACCTGGAACCTGCATCAGACCCCAGCTCTGCCTTCTGCCTAGACACTGCTTGGAACTGAATCCGCAGAAAATCAACCTGTCCTGCTGTGCTCTCTGAGCCTGGCAGGAATATCTCTTGCCTGTGGATGTCACCAGAACTATGCTAGAAAGGGGATTCTGGTAAGAATCCCTCATGCAGCAGCAGGAGGTAAACAAATGCCACTGTGGCGCAAAATTGGCTGTGGGAAGATACGTCACGGCCAGGCAAGTCTGCTTTCACTTTGACTTCCCCAACAACAGAACTGAACACAGTTCCCGGCACACCGCTCTTATTTCTCACGCAGCAGTCCTTTACTGGAATCGTTGCCTGTGTGTATGCACATTCGCTTTTTTAAAATACTGAGGATTTCTCCTTTTTTGAGTCAGGGTCTCACTAAGATGCCCAGGCTGAGCTCAAAGTTGTGGTAACCCTCCCTTAGCATCCCAGAGATGTAGAATTACATTCTTTTTAATGGCAGAGTAATATTCCAAATGTGGATTTCCGTAAGTCAGCCAGCCAGTTTCTAGCCAGTTGTGTAGGCTCTGGACACATTCCTGTCCTTCTTCTCCTTCCAGTCAATCATCAAGCTCTAGAAATTTCACCTTTCCATCCTCCTCACCCCTGGGCGAGGCCCTCACTATCTGCAGTGTTACGGTTGCCTCCCAGTGTCCTGTCTCCAGTGCTGACCAGGCTCTCAGCAGTCTATTATTTAACCAGAGTAACTTTGCTTAAGCGCAGTACTTTATTTTTCTAAACAAAACCTCTCACCTAGTCCCACTTCTTATGAAAATGCTTCCACTGCTCGTCTTTGTGGTGGGGTCGAGGTCAAGTCCAAACACCATAGCGTTTTGTTCAAGACCTTGGAGTGTGTCCTCCCTGGCGCCCCGCCCTCCTGCGTGCATGGTCCGTGCCTGTGCTGACCGCACCCCCACCCCTCTCCACGCACTCTGCGTCTCGTGCTCGTTCCCTGCCTTCCGAGTCTCAAGTGCGCTGGGAGCTTTTACTGCCAGGCCGCAACCCCCCATTTACCTGCCCCGGCACACAAGAGAGTTTCACTCTTCTTGTTTCTTCTCAGCTCCAGCGAGGCCTCCTCCGGAGTCCTGGGGGCGTCCTTGCAGTCCCCAGATGCAGCGGGAGCTGTAGGGTTTCGTGTTTGTGTGATGGGTTGCTTTGATCTAGTTCTTCTGTGCCCCCATTCCTGTCTTGGGGATGGGGTACCTCACCCTGTGCCACCCCACCTCGGGATCACGTAACTCGGTTGTTTTTGTGATTTGTCAGAGGTGCTCAGTGAAGAATTCGCCTTGAGTCTCGGAAGACATGTAGAGTTGGGCTTGTACAAAACGCTGGAACTGTGGCGGTGGGGCGGGGGATCCTGTGCTTCCAGCTGTGCACAGGCTGGTTGTGTTGCGTTGAACAGAATCACGAACTTGCTAATATCTTTATTTGGAGATTAAGTGTGGTTTAAGGAGGTGTGTTTGGGTGTCAAGGATTAAAAGTTTCTTAGCTCTTTCTTTTTTCAGTATCTTATAAATACCCTTGGGCCTTGAATGTACATTGCCAACCTGATTTTCTTTCTTTCTTTTTTTTTTTTTTCTTATGTATTCTTTATCTTTAGAACACAGTAACTTTGTAAGAACAGATGTTTGTATTGAATATACAAGGACAGTTTCCTTTATAAAGGGTGTTCTTTCAGTATGTAGAACCAAATAATTTGTTTCAGCAAAGTTTGTTTTTTAACGTTTTTAAATTTTTTAACTTTTGCCTTTATATTTATGTTGAACTACAGTTATGCACATGCTGTGTTTCTTTTACTTATGTCCTATATTTTCCATAAAGAAACCTTTTGTTTCTTTGTTTATATTTCTAGCCTTTTAACCCTTTCATTTTATCTAATTTGCTTTCTTATACTTACTGTACTGGCTACAGTCTGTGTTTCTGTTCTTTATATGTAACTTCATTTGTGGAACAATTCTGACTCTCACAGCAGCCGCTATAAGGCACATGCATGGTTATATGCGCTCTTCTGGGCGGGGATGAGGGGGCAGAGGACAAGATCTCCATGTAATGTTTTGATTGGTGGGTTTAACTGAGGTGGGTGATTATGTAATTTGGGGTGTGCAGGAAAGGGAGGGGAAGGAATTGGCTTTGTTTCTTCACAAAGGGCTGTTTTATAGGAAGAAATGAAACTTTCATTTGAGGTTGTGGCGGGAACACCATTTGGTTGGGGCCAGCCAGGGACAATTTTAGATCTAGCCAGACCTATCAATAGGCACATCCAGATGAGAAGATACCTCTAGTCTGCGACACAGGGCTGCCATTTGGCCCCTGAGCACACTCCTGGTGACTCTTCTCTTCCATTTGACTTGGGCCTAAAAGTTTTCATGGTGACAACATGAACAGGACACTCTGGGAAAAGTCTTATGTTAATCAGCTTTTTGCTGCGGTGACCAGTTACCTGTGAAAAGCAACATAAAGGAGGAGTGGCTTCTAGTGGCTCCTGGTTTCAAAGGTTTCAGTCCATGGTCATTAGGTTTCATTGCTGTGGGCCTGAGGTGAGGCAGAACATAGCAGAAGGGCATAGAGGAGCAAAGCAGCTCACCTCATGGCAACTGGGAAGGAGAGAGGAGGAGAAAGAGCCTGAGTGAGTGGAAGGGGCTGCAGAGAAGATCTCTACTTCCTCCAATGGGGCCCCATTTCCTAACAGCCCATCCAGCTATTTGAACTCACTGGACTGGTTAATCCACTGATTCGATTAGCACCCACCTGGTCAGTCATCTCTCTAGGCCCTACCCCTCAGCATTACTGCACTGGGGACTCAAGCTACCACCAAACTCAAGCAGCCTTGAAAATATGCTCTGGGGTTTTACAAGATGGTGGCTTTGGCAGGAATTATGATTGTGGTTGTTAAGAAGTATGAACACCAAGAGTTTGGAAGAGAGGGGTGTCTCCATATCTGGGAAGCTGGGGAGAAACCATGGAATCTGGAGAGTTCACAGACATACAAAGACTAATGAATCCCTCCAGAAAGCTGTGGTTCTGCCCAGTTTCCAAGGTTGTCATGTCCTTGGGTGAGTGTGAACTTAGTTCAGAAATTCAGCTGTGGACATCCCTGAAATCCTGTTTGACAAGGCTTCCTGACCATTTTAAGTGTTCTGAACCAAGGCTGTTCCATGTGGGTTTTCTTCCTCCATACTCCCCTTCATATAGGAAGATTTACAAACTTATTTTGAAGGGAGGATATAATTAGTAGCATAATGTTTACATGTGATGTGATGTGTGCACAAATACAAAGGCTGTGTGACTACGCAAAGTCACTTGTTTCAGAAAATCACCAGCCACGCATGTAAAATTCTACCTTCAGAGATGTACAGATGTAACTACCCTTTTGGTAGCCCAGAACTACTGGCAGAAAGGTCACCTCTTCTTGTCATGGATGTTTTCTGCAATGAGACTGTTATTCACGCATTAACATTGTAATCTCTTGTCATTTCTTACCCATAGGCAAAAACTGGGACCTAACAGCTGCTCTAAGTGACTATGAACAACTCCGACAGGTGCACACAGCCAACCTGCCACATGTGTTCAATGAAGGGAGGTGCCCCAAGCAGCCTGAACGAGAGCCACACCAGCCTGGACACAAGGTGGAGCGGCCCTGCCTGCAGAGGCAGGACGACATCCCCCAAGGTACTGCTGAGGCCCGAGCCGAGGCACAGCTGCCTGGGACGGGGTGCCAGGCTAATGGGCAGTGGGGGACCCAAAGAATAGCAAGTGATCACTGTCACCTCCCAAGTGCAGATCAATGGGACCCTCCGTGCATCACGCCTCGCAGTGGACTGAAATGTCCCTCGCAGTGTCCATTCGTGGTAGCTGCCTCTGCCTCCAAAAAGCAGGCGAGAGAGTCCAGTTCCTTTGCAACCCAGGGGTCTTTTAAGGAGTTGAAGACGAGTGTTCCTCCTAGAGACTTGTTTTTTGTCCAAACCAAACACCTCCTTCATTTACTTCCCAACAGGCTGAGTCTCCGAATCTGCTAGCACCATGCCCATGTCCCATGTGCTCCATCTCCTGTATTGTTTCTTCATCGCAAGAGTAACAAACAGTGCAGTTATATAAAAGTACTTCTCCCCATCTCTCTGGAGTAATTAATACCTCGATCATCTGAGCCCACTTTGCCTGTGTCTCCAGCGGGCTCCTTCAAAATGCAAAGGCTCAGAGTCAAATGCACATCCTGCTTTGCCAAGTGCTCATTTCACTGAGCAAGGGATCAAGAACAGATCCTCTGAAGAGCTACATTTTTATTTCACAGTAGACATTACATTTTAAGCTTCCCACATAAGCCATCATTCTGGGTTGGGTGTTTTGTTTTTGTTTTTGAACTTTGTTTTTGTTTTCTGGTTCCACCAGTGGGCACAACGCTGAAGTAAATATTCTCATACCTGTAAGTCTTACGTATGGGTGCGTTTCTTTTTATAAGGCAGTGTCCCAAATGGACTTGCTGTGTCAATGTGTGTGTGCTTTTAATTTAGTCACAAAATTTAGTAACTTCAGAGTTCTTCCAAAACACATTTCTGCTTATTGTGCATTTCCCGTCACCCTTGCTAGCCCTGAAATATTTTACTTTGTGGTGTCAGGGATTAAACCCAGGGCCTTTACACTAAGTTTTATTCTTTGTCCTTTTTTTTTAACTTTTATTTGAGGCAGGGTCTCACTAAGTTGCTGAGTTGACCAGACTGAGCTCAAACTTGTAATCATCCTGCCTCAGCCTCCCAGAATGCTGGGATTATAGGCTTGTACCACCAATGCCAGGCTAGCTGTTCTTTTTTAACAAGAAATTTTAATTATAATTATTAAATCATAGTAATTGTACAAATTAAGGAGTTTCACTGTCACACTTCCATGCATGAATATATCATGCTTTCATCTAGCCTCCCTCCCTAACACCCTCCTCTCCTCCTGCCCTTTCCTCTCCTCTCCTCCCTGCCTGCAGTCCCCTTCCCTTTCCTGGTGCTCCCTCTCCTACTGTCAGGTTGCCTTTTCCTGTTTTCCAGTTTCCATCCATGAGAGAAAACATGTGACACTCATCTTTCTGAGTCTGGCTTAGCTTGCTCAGTGTGATGACTTCTGGTTCTGTCCATTCCCGTGCAGAAGACCTTCTTCTTTACTGATGGAAAGTGTCCACTGCGTATATATTGCCACATTTTCTGTCCCCATTCATCTGCTGACAACACTTAGGAAGACTCCCGAACTGCCTATTGGGAACGGTGTTCTGATAAACATGGGAACACGAGTCCCACTGGATATTACTGCTGTGGTCTTACCTTGTTATTCTACTCTGAAGGATGAAAAATGGTGTCACATTTTAACTTTCATCTTGTCATTTGCTGATCTCCTCTCCTGCTTTAGAAAGTCTCATGGAATACAAAGTTACTGAAACATTTTTCCCACATGTTTTTAAATTTCACTCTTTAGATCTTTTCAATTTGAAATATTATATATATATATATAGATATATATATATATGTATGTATATATGTGTGTATATATGTATATATGTGTATACACACACAAGAGTAAAGGATCTGGTTCTGTTTTCTTCTGGATTGAGACTGAGTTATTTAAGCACAGTTACTAAATAAACCATCCTTATCACATTAACTAAAATGTGCCATATGTTAAAGCCCAGAAGACCCCCGGATCTGCTTCTGGGTGTGGTTCTGTTCACCCATGTGGCTGCCCAGCATGTCACACTGACCCTAGAGCTTTTATCATACTGCTTTATTCTAAATCAACCCTTTTATTACTGTGCTTTTATAAAATCTCTTACTATTTTTGCATATTTATTCTGCCATGTAAACCTTCAAATTGGAATTGAATTACAGTTTTATTTTACTAAGAATTGGCATTTGTGCTGTTTTTCTCCCATCCAAGAACATTTTATGCACCTCTCTATGGATTTGGATTCAATTAAGACTTTAGGCATAGAGAAAAACAATTCATTTCATGCTTAGCTTTTGTCCAATCATCCACATAAATGCTCTACTTAATACTAATTGTCTTAAGAGAATGCCTTTGATTTTTTTAAATGTATAAATCATATTTGAAGATATTTAGTAGTCTTTTTAGTATTTGTGCAATTCTGTTTCTTGTCTTGTTGTGTTATATAGACCCTCATAAGCCAGGGAATGTGTTGTCTTTGTTTCTATTAGCTCAGCCTTATTATTCAAGACATAATAGTTGTCATTAAAGATACAATGTATGAACCTGTATCTCAGGTCATTCCTGCATCTCCTTACCTGCTGTCTGTATGAACCACAGTCGAGTTAGACACTGTAACATGCATTTTCTGTCTGTTGCTTCAATTTCATCCCTCCTGTATTTGTTTTGATACTATATTGTTAGGCACATGTCTGCTTGTCTTAGGTTATGTTGCTCTAGAGTTCTTAGTTTCCATTGTTGAAAAGAGAGCCTGAGGCAGTGGTGAGGTAGTGAGTGGAGCACCGCCCTCCTTCCCTGCTCCCAGTACGAAAGAGGAAAGGGACACAGGGCATACACAGCCTTGGGCAGCAGCAGAGCAATGAGCGGGAAGTCAGCACCCCCAACAATGCGAGAGAGGAGAGAGAAGTGGAACTCAAGCAGCCTTTGCCTGTCCCCACAGCAGTGGTGGGGGCAGTGAGTCAGCCAACAGCACTCCCCTGCCCAGCTCCTAGCCCCATGAGAGAGGAGGGAGACGTGCTAGCACCAGTGGGGTGGAGCACAGGAGTCTGTGAAGGGCTGGGAGGGACCAGTGAGTAGGGCACTGGGAGCAGCCTTGGGCTGTCTCCATCTGAGGGCGCCACAGCAACTGGGAGAGACGCACGGAGACAAATAGGGTAAGGAAACGTGGGTAGACGGCCAAGGGACCTCCGGAAAGCTGCCGACTGCAGACTCTGGCCCCCGCCCCCACCCCCAGAGGCACAGATCAGCCCCTCACCTAGCACTAGTCCTACTGCAGACTTGGTGGGTTACCCAGCGCACATTCGGGCTCTGACTTAGACACTACCGCAGAACTATGGACACCAGAGGAATTTTACCAGGTTTTGTTTGTTCATTCGGTTTGTTTTGCTTTCCTTTTTCTGTCTTTTTGGGTTTTGTTGTTGTTGTTGTTATTGTTGTTGTTGTTTTGGTCATTTAGGCTTTTACTTTCATTGTGTGTTTTGTTTCATTTTTTCTGTCTTTTCTCAACCTCTTTTTTATATTTTCATGTAAGTGAACAATGTTTCTTCTCTTTCCAGTTTGCTTCAATATTCTTTTGCTTCCTTCTTCATTCTTGCTCTCATATTCTCTTCTCCAGTTTCCCAAACTTGGGTGATCATGTTTTGTCCTTCAGTCTTGATTCTACTATATTTCTCTTCATTTATCTCTCTATTTTTCTCCTATTCCTCTTAAATTTCCCTCACACAGGGTAAAAGCACTCTATTAAGGGAAAACTCACTGCATACAAGTTCCTGGCTTATGTTGGATTTTATTTTATAACCGTTGTGGTTAAAGGTACCAACTTGTGACCAGAGATTGTCAGTTTCCAAGCTGTGCTTGATGCTATTGCTATTGCTAATCGTACTACTTAAGCCAGGATGTCCTACCCTTTCTAATCAGTTGTTCTCCCTTGTATGACAACGCTGTGATTGTCTGGAGTTGTGATCATCACCATACTCCAGTACTAAAGGTCCAAGGGCTGGGCCAAATATATAAAAACTTCTCGTCCCTCATAAACTGAGAAGGTAGGATCTTGGGGCAGACACAAAGACCAAGATCCATAGAACACACATCGAAGACATCTCTTAGGATAGATATTTCCTGGGGAAGCCTCAGTACTAATGATAAAGCTACCTACCATATGCAGTTTACAAGCATGGATACAGAAAACAAATTGAAATTAAAAAATAGAAAATGACAAGATGTAGAAGTAAAATGTAGCCCAGACCTCCAGCCCACCCGGGAAAAGTCCAGGGGACAATGAGATAGGAGAAATCAGAAGCCACTCACCTGAATTTTCTGAAATGGTAGCAGAAGAAGTAAAAAAAAAAAAAAAAAAAAAAAAAAAAAAAAAATGAATGAAGCTATAGAGAAAATCAAATCAGAAATAATCTCTCAGGTGAAAAAGAAATAGATGGCAATCATAATGAAGGACTTACTCAGTGAATCTAGAGTAGATTTAAAAGAAATAGAAGGGCTGGGGATTTAACTCAGTGGCACCATGCCTGCCTTGGAAGCACAAGGTCCTGAGTTCGATCCCAAGTACCATAAAATAAATTAAAATAAATAGAGGAGCTTAGGAAAATGATGAAAACCATGACTGCCCAACATAGGAAAGACATGGAATCCATGAATCAGATTCAAGGACATCCAGGAGATTAAAAATTCCATTGAAAGTATATGCAGCCAGATAAACCAAGGTAAGGACAGAATATCAGATCTATAAGACAGGATTGTGGTCAGCAATCACCAAAAGAAAGACTATGAAAAGACACCATAGAAAAATCATTCCAACAGCTGCAAGGTGATGCAAAGAAGAACAGCATAAGATTGAATGGAGTCAGTGAAAAAGCAGGAGACAGCACAAATGATATTTTTTAAAAATGTTCACAGAAGTAATGGCAGAAAACTTCCCAAGCATGAAAAAAATTTTGACATAAAGATAAGTAAGGTATATAAAACTCCAATTAGCCATGACCAAAATAAATCTACACCAAGGCATATAATAATGAAGATTCCAGAAATTCAGCGCAAAAACAGAATATTAAAAGCTGTCAGAGAAAGAGAAACAAATCAACTCTAAAGGAAAGCGCATCAGAATCATAGCAGACTTCTCAACAAAACCCTTAAATCAAAGAGCTTGGAGTGAAGTACTTCAAGTCCTAAAAGAAAATAATCTCCAACCCAGACCGATGCACTCTGACAAACTTTCAATTTCAGTAGAGAAATAACATACTTCTAGATAAAGAACAACTGAAGAAATTCATGACCACCAAATAGTTCTCTTAAATGTTCGGAAGGATATTTTAGAAAGAGGTGATGAAGACTACCATTCTAAGAACACCAACAGAAAGAATCCACCAGGCAAAGAAAGCAATTAAACAGAGAAAGACAAGGAACCAACAACAGAAAAATAATATGACAAGGATAAGACAATACATATCAGTTATACCCATCAGTGTTAATGATCTCAAATCACCAATCAAAAGAAATCGAATGGCAGAATGGATTAGTAAAAAAGTTCCAACAATATGCTTCATGCAAGAAACACATTTAACTCAAAAAGTAGTTCATAGACTTAAATTCAAAGGATGGAAAACTTCATATGTGTGTGTGTGTGTATGTACACATATATGTAGATGTCTCTTTGTTCCATGTAAATGCTTTATCTTCAATTTGAAATTACACTACTACCCTGGTTTTCTATCAGTTCATATTTATCTGGAATGTGACATTTCATCTATTTTCAGCTCTTCCTTAGCCTTTTGTAGTAAAGGCAATTCTCAGAAGTGGCTTTATCATCAGATTTTATTTTATCATTTAATACAAGAATCTCTGTCCTTCCGATAGAAAATTTAATTCATTTAGTTTTGTTTCATATGCACAGTTCTTCATGTTGTATATTTTATTAGCCAAACCTTTTGTGTTTGCTTGTTTGTTTGTGTGAAAGTTAAACATTGTAGTTTTATGTATGTGGTAATTACCTCTGTTCTATTAAATCTGCATTTAGGCTTTTAAAATTTTTTTAAATTATTTTAAATTTTAAAAATTTATTGACCACCATATTTTACCCTAAACAATAAGTATGTGCCATCATGCTCATATTTTCTCCCTTTGTACCACAATCTTCTTTAGGTTGGTTTTCAGTTTGTTGTTGATTTAGATAAAAATTAACTGCTTTATTTGCTAACATTTATAGTCATGCACTGCAAAATGCCATTTCAACAATGACCGTCTGCATTTCCGGTGGTATCCTGTGAGATTCTGATAGCGCTGAGAAAATCCCATCTAGTGAGGCAGCTGCCACTGTAGTGTCAGAACACAAACACGACCTGTGTGTTTGTGGTGGTGTTTATGGAAACAGGCCTGTTACACAGCTAATGCCTAATACTGATAATAGATGGCTGCCAGTGCTTTATCCATTTACTGTACTATAGTTTTAGCATTATTTTAGCATATACTCCTTCTGCCTGTTAACTGTAAAACAGTCTGCTGTGTTACATGGGCAGCAGCCTCAGACATCTACGTCTTCTGCACTCCTTGACAGCATCAGGAGGTGGAATCAAGAGACTGAGCTATCCTGATCTGTAAGCGCCCCCTGGAGTTCACACCACCACATACTGCTCAGAGAACATCCCTGTCATTGCGAGATGGGTAGCTGTATTTGTTTCTCTTTTGCTGAAAGTATTTCCCCAAAGACTACTTTCAAGCAGTGTTTTACATAATGGATCTCCTAAGGCCTTCCGTGCCTAGAAAGCTTTTCAGGATATGCTTACAGTTTTGTTTAGTGGAATAAAAAGTCTCAGTCCAAATTCTTTTCCTTGAACACTTTGCAGCCCTCCCTCTGCTGTTGCCTTGCAGCTCATTTCTGTTGTCCGGAAGATTCCCTTCATCCGATGTCCTAACCATTCACTCATTATGCTCGTGCCTCTGCTGCGAGTGAACTTTTAACAAGTTTTCATTCCCAGTTAGTTCTTTGTCATTTTTATTCTTTAATAATCTAGTAGTCGCTTTATCTCTTTGCCAGGCTTATTTTGAAATCTGGTCCCTTTTTTTCTGCTTCCTGGCAAAAGGACTTTATGAAGTTCCTTGGGCCATTTCCTGCCTGCCCCCCCACTGCTGTTTCCTCAGTCTCCCTGAGAGCTCCTAGTACCTGGGTCATAAGCCATCAGAACTTGTATGCAAAGTATAAGGATCAAATGGGGACACTAAGCATATTCACCATTGCTAATATTTATCATTTTTGTGCCGGGAACATTCAAAATCCTCTCTTCTGCTTATTTTGAAATACATAAAAATCATTATTAGCTGTAGTCACCCTACTGTGCCATGGAACACTAGAATTTATTGTCCCTACGTAATTGTGACTTTGTGGCCCATCTCCCCTCCCCTCCCATCTGTACCTTTTGGTAACCACTGTCCACTCCCTACTCCTATAAGATTCATTTGCTTTGCTTCTGCATGTGAATGAGATGGTATTTGTAACTTTGAACCCGGCTTATTTCACTTCTCCGTGTTCATCCATGTGGCTGCACACGACAGAATTTCCTTCTTTTATGGCTGAAGAATATTCCGTTATAGATATATAACATATTCTCTTCATCTAGATTTTCTTCATCCGTTCATCCACTGATGGACACTTGGGTTGTTCCCACATCTTGACTGTTGTGAATAGCGTCACAGTGAACGTGAGAACGTGGACGTCTGGCATACCGATTGCCTTTTCTTTAGATATATACACGACATTGGAATTGCTGGATCTCAAATGTTCTCAATCAGATTTAAAACTTTCCCTACTTGTTCCCTTCCCCAGAGCTGTCTTCTCTCCTCAGGGAGACTTCCAGCACCTCTGTTTTAGAAATTGCTTATTCTGGGGGCCACTCCTTTGGTGGAAACTGCCGAGCCCCCAGGTGTGCTGAGGAAAGGAGAGGAGGCTGTGCCGTTTTTATCCATCCCCAGCCCCGCTGGGCCCTGGCAGTGTGTGAAGCTCCTCCACTTGGCTTTGGACCTATGCAGCTGCTGGCCCACGCTGTGGTAACAGTGGGGAGGGCAGCGGCCTCCCGGGGGCTCTGCTGGGGAGCGGAAAGGCACACAGAGCCGGCAGTGCCCCTGGCCCTACCCACAGAGCCTGCTCATTCCCGCCCTCTGCCTCTGTGCGTCGGCAACTAGGGTTAGGGAGAAGCCGCTGAGGCCGCTCACTCGCTTACCCTTGTGGATGTATTGTTCTCAGGGCTGCTGCTCTTCTGCCAGTAGGTCTGGTGCGGGGCCCCCTCTTCCAGGCCCATGGTTCTGCCTCCCCTGGGGTCCCCTGATGTCCATATCTTCAGTACCACAAAGTTAAAGCTCTAGGGCTCCCACGCCTCTGGTCAGTGGTATCCAGGCAGACAGTGATGGGGCAGTTCCTGCTGTCTTTGGCCACAGCACACAAAGCACCCTGTGATCTCGTCCTCCTGAGAGTTCTAGGAGGCCCTCACTCAGCTCCTGGGGAAGGTGGCATAGCCAGCCTGGTGTCACTGCCACCTGTCCTGTTGGACTTGTATCAGACACCATTTCAGGAAAAACAGAAGTGTATGTTTAATCTTAGTATAGTCTTATGATTTAACCTTAAGAATCAAGCCTTGTTGGAAGACATACCTTTTTTTTTTTTTTCCCCGGTACCAGGGATCAAACTCAGGTCCTTGTGCTTGTGAAGCAGATGGAGGAACCACTGAGTTAAATCCCCAGCCCCAACCTATTTTTAATAAAACAGAAATTGTAGAGTTTCTGAATTAGATTTCTGTCTCCCTTAGCAGAGCTCTTGCTAAGGTTACAACGTGTTCCAATGGAAAAATAAAGCATCCACAGTCTGAATCCAGGGCCAGTAAATGATGGTCGATGAGCTGAATCTGGGCACTGTCTGCTTTTCAAATAAAGTTTTATTAAAACATCTCATGCCTATTCGTGGCTGTATTGTGTGTGGCTGCATTAGTGCTAGGGTTGAGAAGTTGATACTGAGACTGTATGGCCTGTGCAAAACCTAAAACATTCATCTGTCCTTTTACTAAAGACTTGTCCACCTATTTAAAATGTACCTAGGAAAAAAATAAAAATAAAAGGTACTAGGATTCATTTTAATCAGGTATGGTAAGACAGACAAATAACTTATTGTAAAGGAAAAGGTTTCTATTCACAGTTGCTTGGAGCAGGAGGAGCCATGAAGGAAGGCACAGGCGGGGCAGGAGGCAGAGAGAGCAAGGCGATGCCGTGGATATTAAGGGCATTTATTGTGATTTCTGTGCAAGAGGCAGGTAAGGTGGAGTGAGCTGACCTAGGACCAGGTGCCGTTAATCATTGCAGCGGCTCTGGGGGTGTAGGTCCAGGACCTGGCCCTGACATGATAAGGGCAAGGAATACTTTGGGTCTCAGAGCCAGTTGGGGAGAGGGCTCGGTGCAGACAGTGGGTGAGTTGTATTACACTGAAAGGTGTACTCCTGCACAAGTCTTCACTGTCTCTCAGATTTGGCTGGCCCTGAAGGGGTCGCTGGTCCCCAGTCAGCATAGAGCACTGAAAAGACAGAGAAGAGGAAAACGTAGTCCACTCAGCTGCCCTCACCTAACTCATCAGTGTTGGAGCTGGCTTTATCAGGTGCAGAGTCCTGTGCCTTCTCCCACTGTGCATTCACACCTCTCATTTCTGTTTCTCTGGGTCATAACTGTAAAATGTTTCACTGAAACCTCCAATAGAAGGATCACTGAGTTCATGTGTAAAGACTCAAGGCTGGGGTCTTGCGTAAGAGCAGAGTGCTTTCCTACCTGGTGCAAAGCCCAGCACTGCAAAAATCTGTTTGTGCATGGGAAAGAGAAAGAGAAACCGAGGTAGGGATTAAGAGAGACAGATCCTGTGCATATAGCCCTGGAGATGGTGATGTGTTGGAATTAGGAGTGTGTATTTCTCATTGTATGATCTTAATCACAGTCTATTTTTAGTTCACAACTCTTTTCCCTTCAGATTCAGCTCAAACATTTCCTGTTTGAATCTGCTTAATAACATCACCTTTTATTACAAATCACAATGCTTCTAAGGCCCTAATTGCAGCTCATGCATCAGTAAATAGGTGATGACTGATAAGCACATGCTGGACCAAGCTGGAAGGTCTCCACTGGAGAACGGCCTTCTGGGGGTCTGGACAACAGATTGTGGGTGCGCACGGCCCCTCGGTTCTCTAACACGGAAGCCCATCACCAGGCCCTCCCTTCCCAGACTCAGAGTGGATCGTATGTGGCCGGATGTGTGACCTCGGCGCGGTGTGGGGTCTCCCCGGCTCCACTTTGGGGGATTTGGGCCATGTGCAGAATCTGATGGGCATCTCCAAGGAACACACGAGCATACCCTGTGTGCCCCGCTCTTTTCTGAACCATCTGTGTGTCTGATCTGACTTCTCTGTTACCTTCCTCAAAATGCAAAATAACTTCTTCCTGTGAGGTCAGAATGAAATCACAGGTGAATCCAAGCCATCCGTTCTGAAACTATTCTGTCTCCATATTTATTGGCATCAGAAAATATATAAGCCTTCCGAGAGTTACCCTTGGATTTTAACCTAACACGCCACTTGCATATTTAGCTCTGTATATGTTCGTGTGCAGTGTGCACATGTACCTGTTTCTGTGTGTATGTGCTTGCACAGCTCTATGTGCATGTGCAGTGTGTTGTGTGTGATGTATACTTGTGCGTGTGCCTGTGTGTAGGCGTGGTGTGTTGGTGTGTGTACATGTGTGTGCCCGCGTGTTCTGTGTGCATCTATGTGTTGATGTGTGCACACAGAGCCACACTTACACTGACTCGGTCCTGGTGCCTGTGTTTCCTTCTTCCCTGCAGAAAAGCGACTTTCCCGGGGGATTTCACACGCCAGCTCAGCCATCGTCTCCCTGGCCCGGTCCCATGTGGCCAACGACTGCAACAATGAGCAGTTCCCCCTGGAGATGCCCATCTACACATTTCAGCTGCCGGATCTGAGTGTGTACAGTGAGGACTTCAGGAGCTTCATCGAGCGGGACTTGATCGAGCAGGCCACCATGGTAGCTTTGGAACAGGCCGGTAAGTTGTTTCGGCCAGCAGGTCCGGGCCTTGGGCTCAGAGTGAGCACGGTGGCCTGGCCTCCTTAACGAGCAGGAGAGAGGACGGCAATCTCGGGCTCCAGGGGGCTTCCCTCTGGGGCTCTGTGTCTTTACTCAACCTGTTCTGAAGGCTCATTGTTCCAACGCAGGCTGGCAGGCTAGAGGAGCAGAAGGGCAGGTGGCACTGAAACCGCTTGAGCTGCCTCCCTTGTTCCTAAATCCCAGTACCCTGCTTCCAAGAGAACTCTGGGCTTCACTGCCTCCTTATTTCCTCCTTTCTCCTCATCCAACTCATGCATGGGTGTTGAACAAAACATAGGAATGATCATAGGCGACACAGAAAAATAGGAACTCCTGGCCCTTCCTGTGGACTTGGGCAAGTCCATAACCTCCACAAGCCTCGCTCCCCATGTGCGAAGAGGAGAACACTGTTGATCACGGGAAGTGGCACGAGCAACACATACTTGTGTGGCCATCTGTCTCCTGCCCTCCCAGCCTTTCCGGCCTCCAGGTTGAGGAAACTCAGAAGCTGGCCTTAGTCTCTTCCTCTGTAATGTTTCCCCTCCACCCCAACAGCCCATCAGGGCAGTATCCATGCAGCACAGCAAGCATCTTTTCTTTGAAGTTCCTGGGGGATGTGGCGGGGGAGCAGTTCAAAGCAAATGTCTGTGACAGATTTAGGTTATTCCAGAGACAACACAATGTGTATTTCACGCCTAATCACTTGCATTATAAATATTCCAAAATCAAATATTCAGGGGCTTCTCAGATACTCATGTAAGAGAGACTCTGTGCCCTTCTTCCCAAGCCATACACTGTCCAATGGAGACCCCACCTGCCAGTGTGCCCTGACAGTGGACATGGAGTGTGTCCCCAGCCGTGGGCAGCCACTTCTGGGGCTGGGAAGCGAGGCCTTCCGGTTTGGACTTAGTCTGTAGGCAGCTCTTCCTGTCTGCTGGAACATGTAGCCTCCGCTGCCAGAGGCCTGGCCCTTAGAGTTTGGAGTTACTCCCACCTGTGACCTCCCAGTCCAACAGGAAGGGAAGCTTGTGGGTGAGCGGCAGAAAGGGGGATCCTGCTGAGGGCTGCAGCCAGCAGTGCAGTTTGGCCAACAGTCAATGGATTCAGCCAGATGCCTTTGAGTATTTCAGAGGAAGACAGAAGAGAAGATCTGTGGGCTGGACATTGGTGGGTGGGCTAGTCAGGACCCCAGTAGGAAAGAAAGGGTGACTCACAGCCTGATGAGATGAGAGGATGCTACGGAAGGACTGTTTGCCAAAGAATAGGTGGAGTTTAAAACATCAGTGAAAGATATTGTTATTCCAGGAAATGGTCCTGGCATTGCTATCCCTGTGCCTGGCAGAGAGGCAGAGGGGTGACAGGAGCTGCGCAAAGAGATCCACGGCTTTGGAAGAAAGAAGAAAGATACTGGAGAAGTAAAGACTCCAACCACATTCTTCTCCGGCCGTGCAGCCTCTAGCTGTGCCTCTTACTGGAAATGCAGAGTTCATTGATGGGTCCCTGCCACTCTCCTCGGCACAGAGCAACACGCCGAAGGGCGGACTCTGGACCCCAGGGCAGACCGGAATCATCCAGACAGGATACACCTGGCCACCACCATCGCGGGGCTGTCCCCGTCCCCCTGCTCCCAGAGGGAAGCGGCAGATGCATTGGGCAGAGGAGGGGACGGTGGCTTATGGGGGCTCACTTGTGGCAGCCTTGCAGTCAAGCCTCAGGCGCAGGACCCAGGGAGCTGTGCGTGATTTCAGAGCAATGTCTGCATCCCCAGTCGCTATATTGGCTCCCGACTTCTCACTCCGGGCACACTGTTGTCTCCGCCGCTGCGCAGCCATCAAAAACAACCCACGTTCTGGCAGGCGGAGCCCGGCTGTGTCATCCCAGCACCGTTCACTGAGCCACAAACAGAACAGTCCCTGGGGAGCGGTGTCATGGAAACCACCTGTGCGGAGGCTGGCAGTGTTAACAAGGCTCTGTGTGGCGGATTCAGGTGAGGCGCTCTCTCGCCACCTGCACCCGGAAGTCGCTGTGGGTTAGCAGAGACGGGTTTCCTGAGCGGCCCTCCCCAGAAGTCGGCGGCCGCTGACCATCGCAGACGTCACAGGCAGTGGACGCAGGGTCCTGACTGCTTCATCTGAAGCCGGGTGCTGTGTAGATCTGTCCCGTCAGCCTTCCTCTTTCAGCCCTACTGCATTTAGCAAAAGCCTTTACTTCTTGGGCCGGGGATTTAGCTCAGGGGTGCTGCCGCCTACAGCTCAAACTCCCGAGTTCGATCCCCGGAACAAAAAAAAAAAAAGGCCTTCGCTTCTTCTGAATATGTTTCTTATTAATCTTTTCCCATACACAGTAATCCCCTTTACCCCCAGTTTTACTTTCTGAGATTCCAGTCAGCTGTGGTCTGAAAATACTAAACAGAAAATGCCAGAAATAAACAATTCATAAATTTTAAATAGCATTTATTACAGTATGTAAAATATCATAGATGTGTACATATGAGGAAGCAGTATATTTAGGGCCCAGCATTGTCCATGAGTTCAGGCATCCACTGGAGCCTTGGACCATGCACCCCAAAGATAAGGGGAACAACAGCTGTATCACATATTAATTTCTATCACTTACATTCCCCTTCTTGACTAACATTTTAAAAGGGTACTAATTAACTTCAAATACCCTGTCTGGCATCTCTTTAAAAACCTGAACATATCAAGTTAAAGCTTTAAAGTTGCAAACAACACACTGTTTACTTCAAGCACAGGCGAATGGTGGGAAATGGCTGCAGACATCAATGTAGGTGCGAGGCCTAGCCCACGCACCAGTAAAACCCCAGCTGCACTGCTCTGTGTGAGGTCGAAGGTGCTCACGGTGCCGTGAGAGTCTGAAGGTCAGGGTTCTGCCTGGGACAGGCACCCGGGATTCAGCATGTCTCCCACCTCTGGCACTAGGCTGTTTGCACTGCCCCTCCCTACCTAGGCAAGGCAAAGCATCTCAGGCTGGGGATCAAACCTGACCCAGCCCTCGTCCACCTGATTTCCTGGGTCTTCTCTTTCCCTCTGCTCCTAAGCAAGGGCTTAGACCAGACCGTCACTCGGGCCTTCCTGCATGCAGAGTCTGGCAGGACGCCCTCTTTCCCAACTCTACCACCGACTCCCAGGGGGAGGGCTCTGAGCCCTGGAAAGTGGCCGGCTCCTGGGGACTTGGCTGTCACTATCCGTGGGGAAACCAGTGCTCTGCCATAACACAGTGACACGAGAAAGCCACTGGTGTTGCTGGGTGGAAGGGTACCTTCCTTTTCCCAATAGTTAAGTACTTAGAAGGGTTAAATGATTAATATGCAAATTCATTTATTGTATGTTGAATTATAGATGGGAAGAAATATACTGAAAATCGGTTAACCTAGTTGTGGCTGGCAACAAATAACATCCTTCTCATGGGGCCTTGGGTGGGGACCTCTTCTTTTGACTGTAGAGCAACACAGGGCTCTTATGGCCCAGAAAACTAGCAAAAACTGGCCTTCACTCAGTTAACATTGCCCAAGGCAGAGCTGGTGGAGCCCAGGACACAGTTCCATTTCTCAGAGGCCTGTGTGGCATGGGTGTTTGAGTTCCCACCCCGCTTCTGAGGCATGTGGGCAGCACTTCTGTTTGTGAGGCCCCATGTTGGGTGGGCTGAATTCCAAAAGATCCCACAGATGGGGGAGACCCATCCTCCCCTAACCCTGGCAGCCTGAGGATTCAACGCCCCCTCCTGGCAGTCTCAGAGACAACAGAAGGACCAGGTCTTCTGCAGGTGGAACGTTCTGTCCTGTGAGAGAGGAAAGAAAGGTGATTCTCATTCATCAATTCATCAGTGATTCATCTGCCATGGAGAATCCAAGAACTCACTTATTTTGCTGCATCCCCAAGTGGAAAGCATTGTGGGTTGGGAAGTAACAGCGAAGCCCCATCCGGAAGCTAAGTGCCCCGGGGATAGGCGGTGTGCGGCCCTTCAGTGTGCTCAGCAGCTGTAGGGCGGAGGCGTGTCGGTGTAACGCAGCAGCTCCTGTGTACACAGGAGAACGGACTACAGATGCAGAGGTCAAGTCATATTTAGGACACCTTCGAGTTGTGGCGCTGAGTCTTGCTCACACAGGCGGATAACTGGACTGCAGGGAACAGTCCGAACATGTCACAAGACGTGGAGGAGGCTGCGGAGTTTGGACTCAGCCTGGCCCTGGCTCACATCCCAGATTGGCCAAGGTGCGCGGTCTGCTGGAGTGTCACTGTCTCGCCGCTGAACGTCAGAGATGGGCAGCAGCTGCCAAAGTGCGACAGACTTGGGCCACACCCCTGCAGATCCCTGTCCAGGTCAAGGGCTTCTCCACCAGCTGGACAGATGAAAGTCCCGGCTCTGGAGGGGTCTGAATCCCAGTGAGGAAGAAAGGCCATAAACAAGTCAGCCATACGTATAAAGTGAGGTAGCAGTGGCTGCAGGGAGAAGCTAAGAAGCAAGGTGAGGGGTGCCAGGTGAGGGGAAGAAACCAGCAAGCCGGAGCAGGGTGGGGAGCGGGAGTGGTGGACACACCAGGATGTGATTGCTCCTGGCAGCAGGGACGGCATCACAGGCTGGCCACACATAACAAAGGCCGGCATCACCTGTGCAGGTGCAGCAAAAGCTGGAGGAGCTGCAAAGAAAGGGCAGGAAATGGAACCAGGGCTGAGGACACCATCACGAGTCCTTTAGGCTTAACGTCAGCTGGATGTGCAGCCTCCACAGGGTTTCAAGCAGGAGAGTGACAGACTGATTCGTATTGTCTCCTTTGTCAGGAATGGACTGAGGGGCCAGGGAAACCCTGGCTCAGTGGTTCCACCGCCTGCCTCACAAGCACAAGGGCCTGAGTTCGATCCCTAGTACAAAAAAAAAAAA